ACCAACGACACCAACGAAACCAACGACACCAACGAAACCGACCGTTCCATCGAAGAGAACAACGACACCAACTTATCTACCACCAAGTACGTCGCAGAGTACGACGAGAGCAACTTATCTTCCACCAGACACGGGAACTCCGTTCGTTTCAAAGAGCACCACGTCATATACACCGTCTATACCATCCACTAGGCCTGATCCTTATCTCCCGCCATCATCCGAAAAACCCACCTATTCCACTATAACTGCTCCTCCTTATCCTACGCCACGGTATACCTCAACACCGAGCACACCAACTTACGAACCACCAACGGGAAAACCTGCTCCTACCCCTACTTTACCTCCGGTAACTTTCAGACCTACAGGTTACAATTATCCGATCCCTGATATATTCTTCGATTTTCGCAAACGATGATCCAAATAAAATTCCTACTATTTAGTTTAAAACTAAATGTACCGAGTTTTAAAGACACTTTTTCTATAAGTCTTTTTTTTTATTCCTTTTATTTTTATACATTTGTATGTAACACGCAATTACATGTTAATCACGTTAATTTAAGGTATCGCGCAGTCAGCGAAGTTTCTTCTTCGCGTTAAATTAATTTAGAGAAATATTTTCGAATTACCATCCTTATCATATGCTAGAATTTAGATGAAATCTAAGCAGTACATAGAGCGTAATGATTTGTAAAAAGCTAATAAATGTTTTTCTTCTTTTTTTTTTCCAAAAAAAGAAACAACAATAACATTCTAGAATTATTTGCTTAAAACTTATCACGCGATATAAATGGTTGAGGTAAGTAGCCCATAAAGTACTTGTCTCCTCCTACCATAACGAGCCTCCCCCTCAAACAAAGAAAATTTCTACCTACTTGATAGAATCACGAGTGAAAACTGTGTGGTAAAGAACACACGCTTGTTAGTACCATAGAAAGCATCGTAAGAATAACATCTCGCGGTAAAAAAAAAAAAAGAAATCAGTTATTTGAGATTTTTAGTCTGAAAGAGTATTTAACTTAAAAATTTGTTAACACAATTAGATTCATAACGTACGAATTAATAAATCTATATAAAATGAACATTAGATATAGTATCGTCTCTAACTTATGCGATAATAGCAATTATCGATGAATTATTATAATGGATCCTGATCAATCCAATTCGCGTAAACAAATGCTACATCCTGGACGAAGAAGTGCTATAAGTATATCCGAACTTGGACTTTATTTCGATCGTAGTGATCGATATCGCAAAAATCATTACAATTCGATCGTGAGGAAGTTTGTCATCGGAGTAATGGTACTCATAACAGTGATATTGGTAAGCAACAATTATTATTATTATTAAGTTATCCCATTAACGATGTAAATGAAATTATAAGATAATGTAAAAACTATTCAGAATGAAATATCATTTTAAAGGAAATTGATACTTAAAGACAATGCTATTTAATTAAATGAGCGTTCAACTTTGCTATTCTCTTCTACATGAAGATCAATATCACTCGTTTTACAATGGGAAAATAAGTATGAATTTATCCATTACGTATCGTGAATCATAGTCCAACATTGAATATCTTCGTTAATGCTTAATCATTCTAGTCAACAACTAATTAAATCTTATAATTTATCCTATAATTGAAATTATATTGATTTTCTTCTAATGTAATATATAATTCTATCTCTGAAAAAAAAAATAAACAAAGATTTTATTCATATAATTAAAAATATTTTAAAATTGAAGTAGAATAAGTGAATTAAAAGATTAAGTAAAAGCTTGTTAATAATGTGTAGCAATTTTTGCTACACCTTGTTAAGAAAAAGAATACCAGAAGACAAACAATGAGAGTACAATTATCTATTTCTCGAACGTTTTCCCCGATGATTAATGTGAGAGGCACAATAGAGACATGAACTATTAAAATTTCACCTAAGATCCAGGAGTAACACCTTCTATGCATGGCGAGCCAAGCGTCAAAAAGATTTCTGCGTCCTTCACATATGGGCCGACCATGGTCATTTTTACGCGGATTTAAATCCGACTACACGCGAAACATCGAAATAGGGTTAATGAACATAAGATGTAATTGATAATACATCATTGTATTCGTTACCTGCATCTTCGAAAAATTATAGTAATTATAACGCGAGCGTAGAATAATAAAATTTAATCTAACAAATTCATCGTATTAACGCCCACTTATCTTTCTCAAATCTTATTTATATAATTTCACTTAAACACGTGGCAAAAAATTTCTTCTTTCTTGTTAGTGTGTGATTCAACGAAAGGGCAGAGAGAATATTTTTTCTGACGTTAAATTCTGACGAAAGGGAAAGGATAATGAGTATGAAGAGGAGAAAGTAACGACTCGTCAGCTTGAGAGAGATCATTGACGTATAAAATAAATAAATAAAATTAAAAAAGAAAAGAAAAAGAAAAGGAAAAAAAGAAACTCACAGTTAATATACAAGTATCAAGATACTCGAAAGAATATATTACATGGTCGATACTTCTAACAATGCGGAAGTTATAGCTATGTGACTTTTCTCTGTCGAATATTCTATCATTGAACATTTTTTCTATATGTTCATGATTTATCATTCTTAGTTAATATCACGTGTTCCAATAATTTTGAATTATCGCCTTCGATTATGTAAACTTTTTTCGTTGCGTTTGCTTTTCCTATTCGCTAAAGAATTCTATTCTTTGAAGAAGTATACTTTTACTCTTATTATTGCTGCAACCTTTAAAGATTGTCTGGAATAATATAGAAATTATTTTACTCTTTCTCTTTTAATATGAACACGTGAACTTTTCCATAGGTGGCGGTATTCTTGTACGACTTTACTTCCGCGACATCATCAAATAAAATAAGTCAAGAAACGAAGCACATATATGTACTTCAAAATGCATTAAGAAAAGGACCAACTGTTTCGAAAAAGGCAATCGACCCTAAAACCACTTCTGAAACAACTGTACTTCCTATAGAAAATTATTCCTACGATGAAAATACTGAAGACATATTATCACATCAAAACGAAACATCTGATCAAGTTACGGAAGAAGCTTCTATGGAACATATGATCGAAGCAGAATCGAGATCTCAAAATCCGAGTAATTTTAAACTAAGAAAGAGACTCTTGAAATCTATTGACGATCGTAATGACGAGGAAGATGGCCCGGAAAATAAACAACTGTTTAATAATCATGCGATGATTTATAGGATAAAACAAAGGTAATATCATTTTAATTGATTATAAAAGATATTAAAGTCTTGACAACTTGTTATCACATTAGTATTGGTAATTATGACAATAGAGTAAAAGTCGAAAAATTGGAAACAAATGTTTTTATGATTTATTATATAGTATAAATAATTGTGTATTATAGAAAATATATATTAAATCGAAAAATCTTTTTCTTTTTTTGAATTGTTTTGACTTAGTGAATTAACATTCACTATCATAATTATCGAAAAACATTTGAAATAGATACAAACCTCCAGAGTCGGAGGAAGAAGATGATTTGGAAGATAGAAAACCGATGCCATTTCATTGGGAATATAGGACCCCACATCCTAGCTCGTTCAAACGTGTAAAATTTCCCCAATTAACGCAATACCGATATCCTCATGCCTCGAGAAATATACAAGATATCATAAAATATCTTACAAATGACGCAGTAATGCCGAGCAGAGGTGTCAAATTCACCGGGATCTACGTAAATCCTAAAAAGTACGATGTTTATCCTGAAATTGCTGAAGCTACATCTAACTCTGATAGATCCGAAGAATTCGATGATTCTTACTACTCTACGAATTATAACGGAGATCCATTTTATCAGTATAAACCTAAACACCCATCTGACGTTAATCTTTTAGCCACTTCTAATGTTAGGTAACAAAACTACTGAACAATAAGATTCTAATGTCAAGTGAATTTTCTTTTCTTTTTTTCTTTTTGAAGAAAAATGTGACAATCATTTTTTTAGATTTTCACCAGCAGGTATTAACAGATACAATCCATACTACGATCCATACTTTGCACGACCATCTTTAACAAAACCACCACTAACAGTCGAATCGCAATTACAAAATGCGTATATATCGAACTATCAGAAAAGAAAAAAACCACAACCCTTCAGCGTGATGTTGGATATTTATCCGATTACCGATATAGTGGAACAGAATAAACAAAATGGGAAACCAAAAGTACAAATTCCATTAGAGGATTACGACATTAGAAGACCGATTCAATTCAATAGAGGTCATAAATTTTATTCCTCTAATTCTCAACCTATTCCTATAGTGGCTGTACCTAATCAACAAGCTTTAACGGACGAAGAAGAGAGACAGCAAATGATATTTCATTTGAATCTTTATCCAAGAAAAAAAAATAAACTTAGTAGGTAAGGAGTAAATGTGTTTTCATCTTATGTTAGCTAATAAATATTATAAATTGAAATTGGTAGGGGCTCTTTGATTATAATCAATCGTTATGATAATCATCATAGAAATTGTTTCCATTAGCAATAAGATTTTTAAGTTAGAGCTATAAGTGCGTTATTACATAAGCAGTATTCAGTTGCTTTCTCAAATTCATTCCTTTAACGTCGGCTAATGAATCGAGGCGTTTTAACTTACGTAGCGCATCAATAACGACCAAATGAAATCATTGTAAACGACGTGTAATAAACGTTTATGTTTCGACTCCTCTTAGAACGTTTGTAAACTCGGCTGACTTTCACTGAGTGAGTGAATACACGTGGTATAGTACTAAAGAAGACACGATGATTCTTTCATTCTTTTCAATCTAAAGACGTCACTCATGAGTCGTCGTGACCACAGCCTCAGGCTCGTCAAGAACTTATCTCACAAAATGCCACGGTCTGAATTTGAGACCATCGCGAGGTCATTGAATATTCTTCGTTAAACCAATTTGCATCATAGTTCCGAATATGATCCGACAAGGTTAATAAATCAAAAACACTCGGCTCTCACACGTTTATCTCTGTCAACGGTCATTTGATATTATTATAAGTTATAAAATTAAATTCTCTTGAAAATGTTCATTTTAATTAGAAATAACAAGGAAGCGTTACAGACGATTCCTAATTAATTAAACAATCCAAATTTCAGCTTCGACTTTTTTTTTACGCTCAATACCGAATATTGAGACCAAATATGTTATTGTCTTATTCAAATGTAACTAAATATATTCAAGCGAAACTACTTTTCAGACACGAATTGATCCATAGATCGGAAAATATGGGACCCGAAGAACGTCAAGAAATGGTCAAAAAAATAATGACACCTTTGGAATCTATTGCTAAACATCTAACCGATCATTCATCTATCGAAAATTCAAAACAAGAAGAAGACCAAGAAGATGAAGAAATAGTTTTACCTACCACTCATCTTCAAGAGAAAGTTTTGACGATCAAGGACGAGAAGAACGCAAACGATACGGACGATCGTACCGAATTATCCGAAAGTTCGATCATACCTTCGAATCACAAATCGAGCTTGGAGGAGGATTATGCTAGCACAGAGAAATACGAGTATGAGGCTCAAAAAATCATCGTCACTACGACGAGTACGACAGCGATTAATAACGAATACAGCAATCGTGAGAACACAACAACGACAGAGAACACCAAAATTATTAATATTTCTACCGATATTGATACTCTAGAAGGATTCGAACGATTCGATCGAACTCGTACAAACTGAGATACGAATTAAAAAAAAATACAATTATGCATATATTTTCAAGTAAAAATATTATAAAATAAGATACTTTTTTTTTTTAATTTAAAACGATTATAATAAAATAAATATTTAATACCACACGAGACATTTTTCTACTTGTAAATATATATTTTATTATAATTTTTTAAAGTGTGTAAAAATTATTTTAAAAAGTAAAATATTTTGTTATATTACACATATAAAATGTAGAAATTAGATGTATATTAGATTTGTTGATAACAACGCGATTGAAATTCTTTAATGTTATTTTTATTTAACACTTAATAAATGTTATAGTTCCATGGAGTAGTATTATCATTATTATTACAATATGACGTTATCTTTCCAGACGCATACTCAATTTTAACTGTGGTGTTAAAATCTCTATTAGATCAAATTATTACCTTGACATTTTTCCTATAAATATTTGTATGAAGCAAGATATTCGATTGGCATACGATTTCTGCAGAGGTAACGAAAATGACTTTAAAATGATGATTAACGAGTAAAGAATTCTATAAGTACATACTTAAATAAATTACTTAACGGAGTAAGCGAAATTATAGACGTACTACTTTATACAAGATTAATTACGTTGCAGATAATTCCGCCATCTTTAATTATTTCTCAAAATACTTTCTATTCGTTATATAATATATATATAAAAAAAAAAAAAATTATTGTCATTTGTTATTTAATAGTCTGCATAACAATGTACATTTAATTTTCTAATTAACATTACTTGTACCTAATGTATCATTTTTTCTTTTCATTAGATACGATTTATAATACAAGTGAGATTCATTTTTAAAACGCAGTTAGTTCCAACTACTTAAGTATTGACTATAAGAACGATAAAATGTACAACCCCCCTTAGAATTAAATTTTCTTAAAATAAAGTACAAAAGTTATTATCTGAAAGATAAATCGACGTATTTTGGCACGAACGTCTTAAAAAGTATCTAAAGTGTTAAAGTTACACATTAAACTATAATTCGTATTTTATACACATATAGCACCATTCGATAATCTCATTGAGTCAAATCCTACGAAATCAATTCGTAATTCGACCTTGAAAGTCTTTTAATAAAAAAGAGTTAGTTCCTGTACATGCACCATAATGAATAAATGTAAACACTCTATAACGAAACCAAATTGAAGTCCTTCAAATCATTTTTCAAGATCCAACGAACCATAAATTTCTTTGGACCAAGATAAAAATAATTTTGAAAAATCAAAGGATTGTGTCCTATGCTCTAGAAAGAGTACTAGGATGATAAAGAGTTGTATCAGCACCCCACTCGTAAGGCCCCTCGTGTGGACCCAAAGTAACCATAGTACCAGGACCCAAAGTTGTGTGGGAAGCTGCACTAACCATTCCTGGCCCAGAAGATACGTAACTCAAAGTTGGTCGTGGTTGTTCACGTAATCGTGCATGCTTTACCTGCCGTTTGTATCTGAAACATAAAATCTCATGAAAATCTCTTTCTCCGACCTCCTTTCGAAATATCTTAAAGCAGAACGCGTTAGCACAAATGCCAGAACTAATAACTAAAATTAACACCTAAATAATAAACTCATCTAATTTGGTGATAATGAAATAAAAAGAAAGTACGAACTTACTTCGCATGCATGCAACAGAGTGTACAACTCGACACAATGGCTGCAATACCAACAAGAACAGCTATAGCAAGCACCCACATTTGTGTCATGGAGGCATCAGCCCGTGCAACAACAGCGGCACAATGTTGCACCTTCTCCACGTTGAAAGTCTTGTAAACCTTCTTCAATTCCTCATTCTTGGAGTCTGTCAGTAAAGCTTTCATCTCGTCCAGATCGTAAGACTCTTTACCAACCATTTGGAAACAAGAACTAGTAGATGAAAAGTCTAAAGAATTGTCTTCTTTCGAATAGAACTGAGTGTCATAAACATTAACAGTAATTGGTAAAGAGAGAGCCGTTTGAACAGCTTTCTCAAAATCCTCTAATGTCTTTCTAACTTCGACAGGTGGCTTCGAGAAGACAAACTTCAACATATCCCTATCTCTTAGCAAAAATATTCTCAAGGTTATGTTAGTTTCTCTACCAAGTGTCTTAGAATTATTAGCTGTCACTACAAGTTCCATGTAACCATCCGCATAACCGGACATAGAACCAATTGTTCTAAGCTCGCCCGTTTGAGAGTTCAACGAAAGACGCGGTGGGGTAACCAATGATGACATCGAGGAGTCTACCAGAGATAAGAAGGATACATTGCTCATGTAATAATTTATCGATAAAGCATCGGAATCAGCGTCACTTGCTTCCAATGTTATCAAACTAGTATCGATTGGTACGTTCAATCTCACACCTAGAGTAACGTTATCTTTCTTAAATTTAGGTCGATTATCATCGATGTCAAGAACTCTGATAAGAACTTGCCTCTCCGAAGGATCCTGCCGATTATAAGGTTTAGGAACAACGTCCGATTTACCGGCAGAATATTTGAAACACTTCACTGTTAATAAATGACGATCGATAGACTCTCTATCCAAACGACCATTAGATCGGATAACAGCAGAGTTATTTTCTAAACGTTCAACCGTGAATAATCCAGCCTCGTTTCCATAAATAATGGCATAATCAATCATTCCATTCTCACCGATGTCCTCATCGATTGCTTCGATGATACCAACTTTGGTACCATTTGCAGTTTCTTCTGGAACACCTAACTCAATTGGTGGACTATCTAAACTTCTCTTAAAATGTGCTTTATGATCATCGATATCGTTCACGATTACTTGAAGTACTCTAGTCGCTTGTTGCGGAGGAACACCCAAATCCTGAGCAACCAAAATCAATGTGTAACTATCTTTAATCTCTCGATCGAGTAGTTTCCTCGTTGTTATCAAACCAGTCTCGCTGTTGATCTTAAAAGCACTGGCATCTTTACCAAAATTCCCATCTTCCAAAAACTTAAAAGTTATTTTCCCATTTGGCAGATTTGGATCATCAGGATCGGATGCTACAGCTTGGAACACAGGACTCCCTATCGTTGAATTTTCCGAAATATAAGCTACTTCCTCAATGGTCGGTCTGATGAATAAAGGAACTCCATCGTTGCTAACTACATCACCGATGTATAAAATTAAGATTACGTCAGTGAATAGAGGTGGTAATCCGCCATCTTGAGCTCGGACACGCATGTTGTATGGTTCTGTTCTTCCCTTGCCTGTTAAAGGTCGAGCTGAAGAAATTTCTCCGCTTGTGTGATTTATCTTGAACAGTCCTTGGAGAGAATAAGATTAATATTACATTATTATTGATCATTTAAATTTCGTACAAAATTCCAAAGTTAAAACAATTACCATTGGCTTCCCCTTCATCGATAATCTCGAAATGAATTCGGCCACCCTCTCCTTCATCTGGATCCGTCGCTGTAATATTTACTACGCTGACACCTGTTGAAGCATTTTCAGGAATAACAGCGGTATAGGATTCCTGTGGAAAGATTGGTGCATTGTCATTGACATCCAAGATATCAACTGTGACTAACGCCCTGGTACTCCTTTGTTCTGCACCACCCTGAGGCATGTCTGATGCAACGACATAAAACCGTACAACCGATTGTTTCTCTCGATCAAGACTCGTGTTCGCTGCGATCTACCAAAAAAATAAGTGTATCCATTTAGTAAAGTGTTAACAAATGAATGCTAGATTGAATTGTTTACCTGTATATTCCCAGTAATTGAATCCACCTCGAACAAATTTGTATTCTCGCCTATTATGGAATATCTTACTTCGCCGTAGCCTCTTTCCACTTCTTGTTCTGTGTTCGAACTATCCATATCAGTTGCCCTTACGTTCAAAACGATCTTAGATGCTTTAGCTGATTCTAATACCGAGATTTTATAATCTTTCTGTGTAAATTCTGGACTATTATCGTTTACATCTTGAACTTCAACAATTACATTTGCTTCGGACATTTTTCGTGTTATTTCGTAGTCCCTTGCGAGAGCACGTACTTTAAAACGAATAAACTGAAATAAGATAAATATATATTGAAATTCTTATATTCGATTAATAATAAGATTCATTTTATTGGTATTAAATTGAATACCTTTTGATTCAACAGTTCGTAATCGAGTCTTCGACTCAAAACAACGTTTCCACTTTGGACACCGACATTAACATATCCCTCGTCATCTTCATCTCGAACGAGTTCAAATCTCTGAACTGAATATCCAGTTGTTGGCTCCTTCGCTGACAGCATTAACAGTGTTGTACCAAGAGGCTGCTCTTCTGGGACAGTGACTCTTATCATTGGATTATTAGGAGACCATCCAGTATTAATAAAAGTTGGGTTATCATCACTGTATGCTTGAACATATATGGTCACCTCTGCTTTTGCGATTTGTTTTTCTTTATCGACAACTGCACTTAAATCTTGCGCTTGAACAGTAAGTATTATGACAGCCGCAACCTGATAATCCAATACTCGGTTAACAGTTATTAATCCTGTATTAGAATTAATACGAAAAGCTGTTTTATAATCGTACGGTGTTGTGCTCTTCAATGCTACACCAGTTTTATCAACGGCTCTTATTGGTTCGACGATGGAATATTCCAAATATGCATCCGAATCTGGATCAGTAGCTAATACTTTTAAAACAGACTCTCCTGCAACGCATATTCGTCAACTTAATGCATAGGATCCAGTTTTCGTTTGATTATATGTACTTCATTTAATGTACCTATGGGTGCACGCTCCGATACGTAGACCAAATATGTAGACTCGTTGAACATCGGTGGTTTGTTGTTCACATCAACGATATTGACGGTAACAGTTGTACTAGCAGTTTCTCTAACCGGTGTACCAGAATCAATCGCATGAACAATCACTTCATATTTATCACCTCCACTCTCTAAATCTAAACGAGCATCTGGAGAAACCGTGATGATACCTGAACTATAGAAACAAATATACCGTGCAATGTTATCCG